GAGTGGCAGTCGACTCAACAATCTCAGGAACAGGGTGCTCGAGAACATACTCTTTATTCTCGTAGCGAGGAGTCATCTTCAAGTTGCGCATCCAGTCCATGTAGTTTAGAACAGTGAGCTTTTCCTTTGATAGAATCGAAAAGAGAGTGAAGTTTGAGTTTTGAGTATCAGGAGCATCAACATTTCCAGACTAAAAGATCTAATATTCTCAAGAATCATATTAAAATGATATTTCTAATTAACATATGATACTAATGGGATCACACTAACAACAACTTCATAAAATTGATTATTTATTAGAAATTGATTTTAATAAATATTCAGTAAACTCTTATAATTAAATTGAAAATTATTTGTTTCATGTAAATCATAATTCTAATTAGCAAGTAACATATTATTTTATATGGTATGAATTAATAAGTCATGCACAACCTTTTGGAGTAGTTGAATCCTTTTGTCTTTTACCAAAAGACAAAGTTTATATTTTATAAATTTTGAGTTTATAAAACTTAAACAATGCTTCCTTTACAAATCATTCATTCTAGTTTATTTCATCATATAATAATAAAATAAATTATCCTCTATCTACAAATGTCATTCTAACCAATTTCTAGTCATGAGGGTAACCCAAAAAGGACTTTGCTTTTAATTACAAGTACATACCAATTCAGTTATGAGCTAAGACACATTAATTCAACATTATATTCACGATCATTTTCACATTGGAAAGATTTAATTCTACAACCAAATTGATTTTTAACATACGCATAAAACTATCTAATTTTTTTAGAAAACATCATATTTATGTTGGAGAGAATCAACCCAGAAGAAATATAAAAGATATGATCAAGAAAAAGAACATAATATTTAAATTTACTATGACTAGATCTAAGAGATGTCTGAACATCAAGATGAACAACATCAAAAATAAATAAAACAATTGGATCATGCATAGGAAAAGGAGGTCTAGTTATTTTGTCTAGTTTACAAGCTTGACAAATAATATGAGACTTATCATTATTTTATGAAATTAAATAACAAGACTGCAATGACTGATGGGGTTGATCAACACTGTAATCGAGTTGTTGATGCAAAAATGATGAACTATGGACATGAGGCCTTGGGAAGTCAAGGATGTTATTTGATAGAGGTGATTCGAGCTATCACATTGTAGAATAAATTTTCAAGTTTGGTAATCCTTTATAGAAAAAGCAAACTCATCAAATTTAATAGAGCATTTGTTTGTGTGTGTGAACTAACAAACAAAAATAAGGTTTTTAATTATGTTTTGGGATAATTAGGACAATGTGAAGGTGTAAGGGACGATATGCTTTTGGAATTTAGTAGTGTCTTGATATTATGGAAAATATTGGAGACCTATTACCAACTAAGACCGAATAAAAAATGATTTTATGATAAATGTAAAAGGATATCAGATTCCAAACTAAGGATCATTTTGAGAATGGACTAAGAGATAGTGTTATAGATCCACATATTGACAATAGAGTTAATCTTTGTCCATTTAATATCTATAGGTTTTGAATTTTAAGAATTAGTTTTGCCATCAATGTGGTCCATCATACCAAAACCATTGAAGTGAATCTGGAAAAGCTCTCGCCAAACATCATAGTTGAGTTTGTCGAGATCAATTAAGAACAAGGTGAAAGAAAGCCTTTATGTTAGTGTGATGCCATAAAGTTTGTAAATAGGAGGAGGAGGATTGGGAGAAGAAGGGTTGGAGGAGTCGACTGCCTTGAATACTGAGGAGGAAATCAATGGTGAGGTTGAGGTAGGACTTAGTTGAATCAAAAAAAGGGAGCTAAGGTTTTTGTGATAGACTTTGAAACCATATTGGATAATTAGTCCTATAAATTGATATATTCTATTGATGAACAATATATATAGTATATAGATGACTATGAGACTAAATATAATAAGACCAAAGTTCCCTAACATATACATTAAATTAGGGGCGAGGCTAGTGTAAGCCAAGGTTGGTCACTTGCCATACCTAAATTTAATTTTTTACAACAAGTTATATACAAAAAACATTGAAGGCATGTCTTAAATAATTTGAAAGACCTACCTTAATGTGTTTGAAAAAAAAGGAAGGAAAAAGAGGTATAATTTATAGATGATATAAGGCATATCATATTTTGTGGCACGACGAAGTCCCACATCGACTCCAAGAAGAAAATGGACGTGGTTGGGGGTCCATTATAAATTTGTGCTTCCTTTGTACACTTCCATGTCATAAGTTTGATGGGGTCTGGTTTAGGTTTAGACCGACATAATCTGAGTATAAGTTAGTTTTAGTAAAAGAAAATTTAAGAAATTGCCAACTTGAGATTAGTTCTTTCACCACCAATTTTTATACATGTTGAACCAATTATTTTTCCAATTGAATCCAGTTTTCTCTTGAACCGTCTCAGTTGAACTCGATTAAAGAGTCAAGTTTCTATTCTAGACTCACCACTGCATACAATATAATATAAGGAAATTAAGTAATCTAACCAATTTTGTGTGTGTTTTTTTAAATAACCACTATAAAATCATTTTTGCAAAGTAACTATTGTCTCCAGAATGGGCCATTCCGGAGACCATTTCGGACTGTGTACCTCCCATTAATGACATTCTGGAATGCCTAATTCGGACTACTCTGACATGTTTTAGAGCTGAATTTACAAAACCTGGTTCCGGATTATATTTCGACACATTCAAGAGAACAAACTACAAACCTATTCCAACACATCCCGACCCCTTCCACATATTTTGGTGAAAAGAACCAAAGAAGATATGGAACACGATCTTCATGATTTGGTCATTTTACGGGTGAGTCCTTCACTCCTACAATTTTAATAGTTTGATTATAAGATTATTGTTGTAATAAATTTAGTCTAGAACATGAAGAACATGTCCAAAATGCCCCGAACGCGTTCCAGACCTGTTGTAGATGTTTAATTTAGATTTAGGACCAACCCAAAAGTAGTTTACTTATTTTCTTAGGGTAATATACATTGGAATTTGGTATTCTGAAAAAAAAAAACAATTCTTGAACATGTCCGGAATGTCCAAATGCGAAGAGCTACTCCGAAACACGAAGAACATGTCTGAAATATGAAGAACAACTCTGGAATGTTCATCTTATTTCGTTCAATATTTTTAAAGCATCAATTACATTATCTTCTAAACCCAAAATTGTTGCGGATATTCTTACGACACTCAGGGAGAGACCTCCATGCAAGGCTATGTTCCGAAATACATGTTTTGGTAGGTAGTTAGATATTCATGCGGGGGTTGAAGGAGATCCTTTACTTCTACATTACGTGTTTTGCCACGAAGTTTTAACGGACACTCAAAGCGAAGTAGAGGAAATGTTTATTGAGATCGGAGGGTACGAGCTGACTTTCGGGAAGAAAGAATTTTGTCTTATCACTGGCTTCCAGTTTGGTGAATCTTTTCTTGCCTCGTATTTAGATCTTGCTTTCTGATCCTGTGTATTTCCTATGGTTAAGAAGAATGAAACCGCAAAATTAAAAGATGTCATTTATGTGTTTGAAAATTCACTTCATGACTTATCAGATGAGGATGCAGTCAGTGTATGTCTTATATATTTGTTAGAGAATGGTTTCAATGGATGGTTGCCTTGTCATCCTGTGTCAGAGAAGTATTTCATTTTGTTATCCAACCTTGATGAATTCAACAAGTATCGTGTCGTTAATTTACAATTATCATTACCAATATTTTTTACAATTTTAATTATGAATTTTTTATGTCGTAGATATCCATGGGGGAAGATAAATTGGGATCAATTATACTCTCAGCTATGCATTGTATTCCATAAGGTTGAGAAGCATATATATCCCGTGATACAAAAAGATACACGACCTCAAAAAATACAACACACCCTAAGCGATTTTTTATATGCTTTTAAGGTAAAATAAATGATTAACAATTAAACATTTTATATTTGTTAATATTCTAATACATGATTCTTTAATATATGGATTCTTGAGAGTTTTCCTATGAGCAGTTTGTTTGGTACCCGACAACCGAATGTGATCCCTCGGGTTGTTGGATGGTCGAAATTGAAGAAGATGAATGTGAATCAATGAAAGAAGTTTCTAATTGTTGACGACGTATGATTACTTATATAATTTATAATTTTCACCTATATGTATAATGCATCCTTGTTTATAATTTTACAATATTGTTAGCAGCATAATAGACTTATAGAGAAGTAGGAGCCGACAACATATGAGAGTCGTGCTAAATGGTGCACTTTTAGCTCTGCATGGATTGAGCGCCCTGCTTTAGCTGCCATAGATGTTCACATCGCACCTTCTCTAAAACCATCACATCAACACTCGCCTACATATAAGCCTTGACAAAAGAAGGTACAACCAGATGCTGCCAAAGTTTCATATGCATCTGACCCACCACCACCACTACCCACTGTACCATCAACTGATAAGGACCAAACTATTATTGAGTGTCAAAACAAGGTTCGTGAATGTCACGAGCAATTGAGGGCACATGAGATGGATTTTTTACAACTTGAAGTTACGGTAGTCATGCTTCTAAGACTTAATAATAAGGTTGTCGGAGATGATGTTGGTACCTCACAGTGGGTGGAGGTACATTGTTAATTATTTCACCCCTATACATTTTTATTTAAATTTATGGTATACCCATTATTGCATCATTTATAATTAGATATTATGGAACCAGGGATAACTACAGTAAAGTCCCTATATTTTTGCAAAAGTTTTAATAAAGTCCTAATTTTTTTTTTGAATGAAATAGCCCAATAAACCGGACAATTTAGCCCTTATCATCCGGTGACCCTCATTTAGCCAGTTACAAAAGTCTACATGGCATCTTAATGGTGATTGTATCGCTGACCTCATTAATTTAGGGTTTTTTTTAAGAAAACCCCTTTTCTCGTCTCCTTTATTCCCAACAAATCGATCGATCGATTCTGCTCGTGTCCTTTGGCGATGGATGAAGTATTTGAGCCTGACACAATCGACGTTCAAGTTGATGATTTTGTAAAAACCAAATCAGTTTCAAGATGCAAAGATGAATTCCTTAATGTTCTTTGTGAAGACAGTGATGACGAACCAGTAGAAGGTGAAGGAGAGAATGCTCGAGTGGAAGTACATGATGAGAAAAACGCTAAAGAATCTAGTGATGAAGATGAAATCGTATACTCCATCCATAATCCGAAGGTCAAATGGAGTGTGATGAAACCAATTATTGGAGAAAGGTATGAATGTAGACATGAACTGAAATTATTCTTAACAAATTATTCCATCTATAAGGGTTATAAAATTTGTTTCAAGAAGTGTGATAGTGTTAGACTAGTGGCTGTGTGTGCTAGTGATCCAGAAAAATGCCCTTTTATGGTTCGTGCTTCATGGATGAGTACTGAAAATTCATTCCAGGTGAAAAAGATGAATGATAGGCATACATGTGTTAGGAATTTTAGTAGTTCAAGGCTTATGAATCCAACTTGGTTAGCAAAGCAGTTTGTGAAAGAACTAGTAAGGAAACCAAAGTTAAAATGCAAGGAAATGCAGGCAATAATTCAAAGTAAATTTCATTGCAAGGTGTCATGGTCAAAATGTTATAGATCAAGGTGTAGGGCACTGTCCTTAATTGATGGCAATTTGAGTGACCATTATGCAAGAGTGTGGGATTATAGACATGAACTGATGAGGTCCAATCCATGTAGCACAATTAGGATTTCTGTTAATATTAACCCTGTTCAGACTACAACTTTTCATAGAATATATGTGTGCTTTAAAGCAATCAAAGATGGGTGGAAGATAGGATGCTGTAGGGTTATAGGGTTGGATGGGTGTTTTTTGAAGGGATAATGCAAGGGTGAGCTACTAACTGCAATAGGTAGAGATGCAAATAATCAAATTTACCCTATAGCATGGCCTGTTGTGGAGGTTGAAAACAAGGTTAATTGGAAATGGTTCTTGGAACTAGTTAGTGAAGATCTTTCATTGGATGCTGGCAGAGGATTATGTGTCATTAGTGATCAACACAAGGTAATGACAGGTTCATTTAATTCATATCATCTATTATAGTTTTTAATAACAGTTACTAATATATTTTTTCATTTCCTAGGGTCTTGTTGAAGCAACAAAGGAAATTCTACCCAATGTAGAGCACAGACAATGTGCTAGGCATATTTATGCCCATTTTAGGAAAGTGTATAGTGAGATACAATTCAGAAACATGTTTTGGGCAGCTGCAAAATCCACAACAAAAGGTGATTTCAAGATAAACATGGATAGGATCAAGACTTTAAGTGAAGGTGCATATGATCATCTTATGGCTAGAGAACCTCATACATGGTGTAGGGCATTTTTTGGTAGTGGTTTGGCATGTGAGTCTGTAGAGAATGGGATAGCTGAATGTTTTATTGTAGTCATTGTAGATGCTAGAAAGAAGCCTCTTTTGGCTATGCTTAAAGAAATAAGACTCTACATGATGGAAAGGTTCTACAACTTAAGAGAGGAAGCACAGAAACTGGAAGGTAATGTGTGTGAAGCAGCCCTTCTAAAGATGGAGGAATTTGCTGAGGATATAAGGCATATTTTGTATTTCGTATATAAATGTAGCTTTTTAATTGACTGTTATTACCTTTATAATAACCTAAATGTTTATATTTGTAGGACTTGGTATGAAGTGCGAAGTGGTGTTAATTCATATGAAATTAGGAATGGCTTTCAAAGTTATGGAGTTGATTTGGAACACCATTACTGCAGCTGCAGACTGTGGGAGATAGCAGGGATACCTTGTGTGCATACACAAGTAGCAATCTTATACACCAACCAAGATCCAAAGAAATTCATTAGCACTTGGTTCAGTAAGAGTAATTACATGGCTACATATCAGTCTAACATACTTCCAGTCAATGGAAGTAACTTGTGGGAAGAAACTGGCTATACCAAGCCCCTTCCACCTACAGCTCGGAGGATGCCAAGACGACCTCGTGTCAAAAGAAGGAGACATGTCTCTGAGCATGAAGACAAGTACCCCCAAGTGTCTTCCAAGGGAAGAACTGTACAGTGCAAGAATTGTATTCAAAGGGGACATAATAAAGCTTCTTGCAAAAATCCAAAGGTTGTACCTGAGCCAAAACCTAAAAAGAAAATGGGCAGACCCAAATTGGATCCTGATTTGACTAATTGGACAGGATCTAGAAGAGATGATAGAGGTGGGGGTAGTGGATCTGGTAGAAGAGGGAAGAGAGGTGGTGGTAGGGGATCTGGAGGAAGAGGCAACAGAGGTAGAGGGAATACAAAATTTGGTGAGGGAACTTCTAATCTTGATGAAGAAAATGTGTTGACTCCTACTGTTGAGAGTGATAATGAAGAGGCAAGAGATGTGGAGAGTCCTAAAGTTGATGATGAAATAAGAGTGGATGTAAAGAGTGATATTAATTTCATGAGACAGTCGAATTACACTACACAAGAGATTTTGGATTGTCTTGGAGTCAATGAGGAAGAATTATATGAATTTGAGGGTCTAAAACATGTACCTGTGGAGCTATCACATGTATGGTTTAGAAAATAATTTTAGTTTATTGTGTTTAGTATGCCTAACCATATATTGATATGCTTGTTGCAGGGTTTTGAATTTCCTAGCCAATTGACTGTAGAGGATGTCATGGAACAAGAAGTTATGGATCAAGAGGGCATAGGTGAGGAGGTCATGGAACAAGAAGGTATGGATCAAGAGGGTATGAATCAGGAGGGAATCAATGAGAATGGCATGAATCAGGATGGAATGGGTGTACAGGGGATGGATCAGTAGGGAATCATTAAGAATGTCATAGGTGAGGAGGGCATGGAACAAGAAGGTATGTATCAAGAGGGCATGAATCAGGAGGGAATCAATGAGAATGGCATGAATCAGGATGGAATGGGTGTACAAGGGATGGATCAGAAGGGAATCAATGAGAATGGCATGGGTATACAGGAGATAGAGCAGGAGGGCACGGTTATGGAGGACATGGGCAGGAGGCCAAAACTGAGAAAGAGGAAGACTTCAGAGAGGATAACAAAAATACAATTGAAGAAGGTGGTGGTTGTCAAAAATAGGAAGGGGATGAGTTCATCTAACCCACTTAGTCTAGATTAGGGTGTTTCTAACCCATGCTTTTGTGAAGAACATGTACAAACTTTTGGCTTTGGGCAACTGTTGATAGCCCCTTTTGTTAATAGCCCCTTTTGTTGATAGCCATATAAAGTATAGTCTTTGGGCCCCTTGATTATGTTTTGGGCATTTACACAACTAGCCATTCAAACATTTGGCTTTGGTTAATATTACATGTTCTATGATAAACATGGTTAATGTATATTTAGCTTGATTAACTTGTGTATGTTTATGTTGTGTTTGATTTGATTCTATTGTGTATGTTAATGTGGTGATTGATTACATTGTTAAGTTAACTGGAATTCCAACCATGTTTGATTCCAGCCATACTTGATTCCGGTCATGCATGATTCCAACCATACTTGATTCCGGTCATGCATGATTCCAGTCATAAATGATTCCAATCATTATTGATTCCATTGTTTGTTAATGATTCCATTCCGGTCATGCATGATTCCAACCATTGTTTATTGATTCAATTCATTAATGATTCAATTCATGTTTCATTCCATTGATTGTTTATCCATTTTATTCACTCATGATTACATTGGAATCACTTATACATAACTTGTTAATTCACACATAAACATAAACTTGTTAATTCATTTCACTTGACAAAAGGAGACAACATAATACATACTAAACACACCAATTAAGACACCAAAACACTACTTTCCATACATCTTCTATATATCCTACAAATCCTTCAACATCACCAACACAAAAACAAAAGAGACCATGAATACATAGAAAAAAGATTTCCATTTTCCACCTTCTTGTCCATTCTAGACTTGAATGGACACTCCTTCCACGGGTTGATTTGCCACTGGTGGTTGTGCCACTGGTTGTTCCACAATGTCCTCAATAAAGTTCCCTTCAACTTGTTTTTGTCCATAGTCCCCGAAAATTACATTGTTCTCCAAATTAACATTGTTGTGAAATTCTAGTAAGAGATTTGCATACCACTGATTTGGTAGAGGAGGATCCACCCAATGGAAGAATTTGCAGTCTTTGAGTATATCCTTGTAATTTGGGCAACCTATAAACCTTCTTCCTGGGTTAAACGGAGTCCACGAAGTCTATTTTACAACGGGATCACCGTAATAGCACCTGCTTCTCAGTCGATTCATCACTCTTCAATTTGAACTTCTGCTTCCTACAGAAGATGAAGACGACATTTGTGGCTCCTCCTCCTGCTTCGATTTTTGCTTGGTCCAATTTTAGGGCACGAACGAATGAATGATGTATATATTTAAGTTTCGTTAAGTGACTCACCATCCACCTAAGCATGCCCAGTCCACGTAGACTTTTGTAACCGGCTAAATGAGGGTCACCGGATGATAAGGGCTAAATTGTCCGGTTTATCCGGTTTATTGGGCTTTTTCATTCAAAAAAAAATTTAGGACTTTATTGAAACTTTTGCAAAAATATAGGGACTTTACTGTAGTTATCCCTATGGAACCATACATGCAATTATCATAGATAATGTTGGTACTACACAAAACAATGACTTTTTTTTTGGAAAGGAAACTTCCCTAACGAGGGTTTCCGGGCCAGCTTTCGCACACCGACTAATCCCCCGCTGCAAACATGAGACTTTGCCTCATGCCCTGGAGTCACTACAGGCGAACCTCCATGGCCACAAGGGCTGAGTAGTGCCAGGATTTGAACATGGGTCAATAGGTTATCCACCATATCTTCCACATGCCTTACCAAGTCACCACAACCCAAGTGGTTAAAACAATGACTTATGGGACTATGTGTATGGGTATGGGTTAGATATACCTGTACAGCCGCCGAATGACGGACCTGAGCAGATGTTTGCATATAATGACTTTTTGGATATTAAAGTGATTCCGCAGGAAGAATACAAAACGCCTATAGCACCTCTTAGGCGTTCTAATTGAGAAAAATATGTATTCGTATACGTCCACATGGATACATATGAAAAAGAAAGGTGTTGAACGCCAACAGCCAACACAGTTGGACAATTTTTTAGACACTTCCATTCACACTCTATATAAAGAACGGGGTGTTTTGTTGTTATTTTCGCACAGTTTTCTCACTGCTAATACCGACGATTGAGTTTTGGACGCGCTTATATGGGGATAGTCACTTAGGCTGGTTGGAATGTGATGTAAGTTATATACTTATGTGATCGTTACATAGTACGTATTTAGTAACAATATTAAGTTTATTGTATACATGTCTTTATTGGCTAGACATAATGATTTCGATCTCATTGTTGATAGAGCACAAACTAGACAATGCTCGGTGGACATTTGTGCAGACAACTTTGAACACAAATACATATGAATGGAGCAAGATGGCTGATGGATCCATTTACCCACCTTTGTGTGAGTGTGATAATGTATACTTGTGTTTTAATTATATTAATTACGTACTAGTCATTTATAAGAAAATGTTATTTGATGAATACTTAATTCCAACCTTTTGTGCAACTTTACATCCATATAAATATACCGAGTGGCCAATGGTTTTTGGGAGTATAAGATTTCAAGATATTAAAAATAACTATATATGATAGTCACCGGAAGAGCAACCATTTTTTAGAAGATGCATCTTGGTTTACAACTATGCGAGCTCGTATCCACAAACTCCTAGAGGGTATCAACTATTGGGCTAAACCTATTGATGTAATCTTGCTTAAGAGTTTCAAAATCACCCTCGTAAAGGCCGCAAACGTATCAAATATGGATGAGTTATAAAACCGGAAAACTGGACCGGAACCAGAATCGGTTTAACCGGAAAATGCATAAACGGTCCGAGTATTGGGTTCCAAAATTAATCTTATCCGGGTTTCGGGTATTCTGGGTACGGGTCCAACAAGTCCGGGTATTCCGAGTTTTGAAACTGGATATGTAAAAAAACTGGAACCGGGTCTAATGGACCGTAACTGGTTTAATGGGCTAAGGAACCGGACATCGAAGAGTTATCGAAAAGAATACACATGTTCATCTGTTTACTCGCCTCTTCATCTAATGAGTACATAAAGTTCCGTTAGTCAACATATATATTAAATTAGAGTGTTGAAAAAATGTGAAAAGAATTAAGTAGATATAGTGTCATTTTGTTCTTGAATAATTGATGTATTGTTACCCTGTTAAGCATGCAAATTAAGACATTGTTAGCACAAGTTTATAAAAGATTGTTCTCATGTTCATCCACTATTACCTGATTATGAGAAGTATGAAATCCAGTTATAGAACCCGAAGAACCCTGTTCTGCATCACAAGTAATAACATGGTTTTGATCTTTTTAAGAAATAAACAAGTATGTAAGTAGATATGAAAGTGTGCATGAGTTATATTTAAATCCCATATCTAATTTATTATAATTTACATTTTCAGTCCCCGTATTGGATAGTAACTATGAAATCACTTGTGCACCAACTAAGTTTGCAAACATTATAGCAGATTCTTTGTGTTCCTCAGTAAGTCCAACATATAGCATATCATCCAACCTTCTCTGCTCAAATACACCCTTAACATGAATGAATCAAACTTTAAAAAAAATTATAAATTTGTTTCAAAATATGTTGTAAAAACGTGAAATATACTGTTTTGCAAAATAGGTTTTTTCGATTTGAAGACGTTGGTCATCGGTGGGGGTTTTTAATAAAAAGTATTTCAGGTGTCAATAAATTATTTTTTTCCTTTTATTTAAAAATTATGGGTTCCAGTTCCATTTACGGGTTTCCGATTATTTTCGGGTCTAATACATGAAGCCGGTTCCAATTATCAATTTCTGGTTCCAACCGGTTTCATACCCACTATACCCGGTTTGATACCCGAAACTGAACCGGTAACGGTTACCGTATACTAGTTTGGTTCTCGGTTCTTATAATCCTTCAACTCCGGGTTCTGGGTTTTCCGGGTCTGGGTAAACCGGTCCGATTTTGGACCCACTTTCATCCCTATATCAAAATACTCTGACAGTAAAGGGGATTGTGAGGTGTTCTTATGTTGGTCCCAAGAGATGTTGATCGCTCGGAAATCTTTGAGGATAGAGGGTTCAACCAAAACCTGAGTCATGTTATTTCGCAAGAGAATCGCAAAAATTGTATGAGGTACAAGCCAAAAGTTAGGGTCCATTTGAACATTGTAGTATTATTTAAAACATATTTAAATTTATGTAATTATTACTTTTGGTTGTTATTTTTTACAATACACATAGTTATTTTTCAAAAATCATATAAAAACACAAAAATGAACACAAAAAAAATAAAAACACAAACAAATTCTCTATTTAAAAATAAAAAATTAAAAACATAAAAAAGTTCTCTACTATTTAAAAACAAAAAAAAAAAAAAACACAAAAATATATAAAAAAAAAGGAATGCTGCTCCGGTATCCCGAAGGTAGCTCCAGAATGCACAATTTCGAACTAAGTGGTCATTTTTCCAAAAATTACAAAAATTTGTTATTATTAATAAATTACTCGTTCATATGGGTCATATTATTCAATTTTCCTATAACATATCTCTATATAGTAAGAGATAGTTCATGAATATATATATATATATATATATATATATATATATATATATATATATATATATATAGGCTTAGGTTATTGTATGGATAGCAACTATTATGTGGGTGTAAGGATGATTGTGATCCAATTATTTTTATTAATTTAAGAAAGTGATTAACATTTTTAATTAAATTAAAAAAAATGAATAGCATCTAATTAAAGGTGAACAACTATGTAGGGGTAGTTTTTTACATTAGTATGCCCATTA